TGTAATACATCAAAACCAACAACATGTATGCTAGACCCTGTACCAGAAATGTCCAAACCTGCTCTGGAGGCCACTGTCCTACTTGCCCCAAAACACCTGCTGGAAGTTCCCAACTCTGGCCCTTGAAACCCCCTTTCCTTCAGAGTTTAGCTCAAACCCTAATCAAACACACCTGTACATACTAATCAAAGTCTTCTGTATTATTTGAAAGTTAAATGCAGTTTTATCAAGGTTTCAGAAAAGGGGACCTTGCGGGTCAGAGTTGAGAAACGCTGCTCTTCACAATATTACTTACTTTCTTGAGGTCATGTCCCAAAAACCTTTAAGCTGGCAGTTAAACCCTTTATTAAAAAAAGCACAGTTCGACCCAGGAGATATAGTTAATTATAAACTTATCTCAATTAGCGATGCTAATAATTAATCACTGATCAGTTAATTGACAAAAATAATAATAATTCAAAGAAACTGAAATTGTTTGTAAATTGTCATAAAAGTGAATTATATTTTCTGCACGAGCCAGACATTTATATTAGATGTTGTTCTGGGGGAAAGCTAAACTGAATTACCGGTGTGTGTGAAATGTCTAGGCCACACATGAAGCTGAATGTTTATATTAAAAAAATATTAATAATTAATTCCTATGACTTTAATTTGTGGCCACGGCTCATGTTACATTGATTTCTTCTCTCTTTAAAGTAAAACTAAGCATCAAATTAGTACAACGTGGCCATGCCTTAACTTATTTATTTGTTCCCTCATTTTAGTTGTGTTATTAATATTGTTAAAATGTGGAAATTCGAGTGATCGAGCCGCAAAACAGAACACAAAGCCGCATATGGCTTAATTTAAATTTGCACGAGAATGAACCTTATTGGTTCTTGTGAACCTCAAACATGCTGCGTAACACACAAGAATGATTCCTGTTGGTTCTCGCACATTTCCTTCAAATTCTATCCTTCAAATACAATGGTATTTATCATAATATTGGGAAGACCACGGAACTGGTTATCATTAGTCTACTGTCTGTCTGCACAAACAGCAGCAAAGGTTGTACAGTCGGGCTGCTCGATTATGGAAAAATCATAATCACGATTATTTTGGCCATTATTGAAATTGCGATTATTTCAAACGATTATTCATTGACTTTGGAAATATGTTGCATTTATTGAACAGTGAATCCTCCTTAAAACAAATATAAACAATATTCAAATGTATAAACAGCATATAAAATAAAGGCAAATAAGATCAACAATGTAGTGCACTTCCACAATCTCTTAAAAACAAGTAATAAATTAAATACAAATATTAGATCAAATAATAAATTAGACCAAAATAAGATTGCTCACATATGTGCCTTAACAAACTAACTGAGAAGTTTTAAACAACATTTTACAACATTCTACATTTTAAACAATCAAACTCCAGTCAGTAACTCGTCTCAGTCCAATAATATTTTAAGGCTGGCCCACCATGGCTTAGAACTAACAGAAAATAAGTTTAACTTCATCTCTAGACTAAGTAAAATGTATAAACAGCATATAAAATAAAGGCAAATAAGATCAACAATGTAGTGCACTTCCACAATCTCTTAAAAACAAGTAATAAATTAAATACAAATATTAGATCAAATAATAAATTAGACCAAAATAAGATTGCTCACATATGTGCCTTAACAAACTGAGAAGTTTTAAACAACATTTTACAACATTCTACATTTTAAACAATCAAACTGCAGTCAGTAACTCGTCTCAGTCCAATAATATTTTAAGGCTGGCCCACCATGGCTTAGAACTAACAGAAAATAAGTTTAACTTCATCTTTAGACTAAGTAAACATGTTTCAGGCCAACGTGGCCAAAATGCTGATAGGGTTACACATCTAAGCCTTAAAGGTTTTTAGCCAGAAACACCAGCCTATTCACATGATCTGGTTTCAGTGATGAACGCAAGCAGGAGACAATATTTCCACCAGTGCTAAAGACTCGCTCTGATGAAGAACTTGTGGCTGGAATACAAAGATATTTCCTTGCCAGGTTGGAAA